AACCCCTTGGCTACCAGTCGAGCTTTACATCTCTTAAGAGTCCCATTAGAATTACTTTGGAGTATACACCTATCTGCACCCTATTGCCCTTTTTCCATTTGGCCTATCATCAACTTCCCATGTATTATTCTTCTCCAACGCATTCATCTCATCATGCATGGCTTGAACCCAATTATCATCCTTTAATGCTTCATGTACTGATTTCGGGATTGAAATGGAGTCAAGTGCTGTAATAAAACTTCTATGCTGCATACAGAGATTCTTAGAGGAAACAAAATGAGAAATAGGGTGTTGGGTACTTGATCTTTTCCCTTTCCTTACAGCAATGGGTAAGTCATCAGAATTAATATCAGGCTCTGGAATAAAAGAAGTAGTCTATTCAGTACTTACCAGCAGTTCAGGCGATTGCAGTTGCCGATGGAGCAGTGTGGGTTGTTTCTTCCTTTGATACACTAGTTCAGATGTCCCAGCTTTGCGTACTCTTTGTCGATCAATAGGAGACATGTCACATGAGGATTCAGATCCATTTTCAGTCTCAACAACTAAGTCTTCCTTATCAACTTTGTAATAGGTGTAGGCAACAGAAAGGGAGACTCAGAATCAGAGAAAATTAATGAAGCTTCTATACTGTTCTCCCCCTGAAGCTGAGGGTGTTGAAAGTAGGACTCAGATTCATGAAAGCTATAATCCATAGAGACAAAGAATTTACGACTTGGAGAGTGGTAACATTTGTATCCTTTCTTGTTTGGTAGCGTAGCCAAGGAAGACACACTTAAGGGCTCTAGGTTCTAATTTACTTCGATGCTGTTTATGGACATGGACAAAGGCAACACATCCAAAGACATGAGACTGGAGACTGTGCCTAATAGGAATAGAAGGAAAGAAAGAAGTCATGAGATCAACATGACTTACATGACTAAGGATTCGGGAGGGTAAACAGTTGATCAAATAAGCTGCAGTTAATACAGCTTCTCCCCAGTAAGAGTTGAGTACAGATGTCTGAAACGATAATGCTCTGGTGACTTCAAGCAAATGTCAATTTTTCCTTTCAGCAACCTCATTCTGTTGAGGGGTATCCACACATGTGAGCTCATGAGTCATTCCTTTGTCTTTAATAAACTGGGAAAGACACTGATTAACATATTCTATACCATTGTCTGATCTCAAGCGTTTGATACTTTTACCAAATTGGGTTTCAATCATATAATAAAACTGAATAAACAACTGTGTCACTTCTGCCTTATCTTTCATAAAAAATATCCATGTTATCCGAGTATAATCATCAATAAAAGAGACAAACTATTTAGCACCAGAAACATTAGGGATTTTGAAAGGTCCCCAAACATCAAAATGAATAATAATAAAAAGTTCAATACTTTTTATTTCACTAGAAGGAAACGATTCACGATGATGTTTTACAAACTGACAGACATCACAATTAAAAAACTCAACAGACTGAGACAAAAAAAGACGAAAACATAGACTTAAGTAAACTAAAAGGAGGATGACTCAAGCGCTTGTGATGAAGCCAAATAAGAGAACTTGATGTAGACTGATGAGTCATCAAAGTCTGATCCCTGGTACCTTCTGCAGCAAAGTCTGGAATCAGATAATACAACCCACCCTGCTCCTTAGCAACTCCAATTGTCTTCCCCGTGGTGAGATCCTGGAAAATATAATGAGTAGGGAAAAAGGTTACAGTGCAATTCAAATCTGTAGTAAGCTTATGACTAGAAAGGAGATTGGTAGAAAGTTGGGGAACATGGAGAGCATTCTTGAGTCGCAAGGAGGTTGGATTTTAATGTTAACAGAACCTGCAACTGATGTGTTTGATCCATCAGCTACGACATTAGTACGGATACCAATAGTAGGACTAGAAGAAAGAAAAAGGTCAGTACAACAAGTCATATGATCAGTAGCACCAGAATCCACAATCCATGAAGTTTTGAAATCAGTACAAGAAGTCAACAAAAGAATGAGTGCATGAGTTCTTACCAGTCATAGCCAAAGTATCAGTACCAGAAGGCTTATTGAGATATTCAAATATGGACCTAAGCTGTTCCAATTCCTTACGACGAATAGTAGTAAACTCACGAGGCATCTGTGAGGTCTCATTTACAGGAGAAATGTTTGAGGGGGCAAAGAAGGACTGACCACGTGAGGTTGACTTACCAAGCTTCTCCTGAACTTGTTGCTTTCCATGAAGACGGTAACAAATCTCTTTTGTGTGACCTGGTCTTTTACAATAGTTACACCAACGCCCCTCTTTACTAGGCTTAGGAGGAAAAGACCTTGGAGGTGGCTTAGCTGAGAGCATAGCAGAATCGTCAGTGGGCTCAGAATCAGAAGGAGTTGGAGTAGTAACTTTAGATGAGAGCATAATAGATCCTTCGGACACTTTGGTATCTATCATGACAGTCCTGCGAATTTCTTCACCCCTAACAATGTGAAAAACTTCAGAAAGAGAAGGTAATTTTTCCTCACCAAGAATTTGAACTCGAAACTCGAATAAGGTCATATTCTGAGTTGAGTCCACAAAGAAAATCAAAGATCCTATTGCGTTCAATGGAGGTGGTCAGAGTGGCTGCATCCTTGTTACACTCCATCTTCAAACTCTGGTACTGATCAAGCTCAGTCCATAACCCATTCATATACTCTGTTATAGAGAGAGAGCCTTATTTGGTAGAAAAAACTCCTATTCCTCAGATCATAGCAGGTGGCAGCATCTTGCTTCATTGAGTAAGTCTAAGTCTGTCTAAGAACATCCCTGATCGCAAGAGCGGTAGGTAAGAACATGTAATGTTGACTAACCTCAGGAGTCATAGAGTTCTATAGCCACGTCATAATAAGAGAGTCTTCATCATCCCAGTCAGTAAATTTTGGATATGTTTTGGCAGGAACAGGTCCTTCAAGATGAGTTATTTTACGATGCTCTTTAAGGTTGGTACGAACAAGTTGGGACCATTGCAAATAATTCTTCCCATTAAGACGGTAATTCTGATGAAGAGGAGGGAGGTCATTTGGAGAAAGAATAGCCATCGAGTGTGTACCAGATGATTGACTTGTTGGAGTATCTTCAACGTCCGACATAATAAGGGTTGGAAAAATTTTCGGGTGGCTAGTGGCGATGAACAATAAAATAAATTTCTTTTTTTTTTTTTTTTTTTTTATGAATAGTACACGTGAACAGTGTCGAGTGAGCAATACGTTTTTTTTTTTTTTTTGAGTTGTTCCCGTCGTCTAATGAAAAGAAATCTCTGTAGAATGATAGATCTGAGAAAACAGAGTAAAACAGGTGTCCTCACGGTCCAAAAAGTCCCCGGCGAGAGGCAAATAGGGTTTGGTTTTAAAAGCGGTGATTTGCAGAAGCAGAGCCCTTAGATTTGTATATTATTGAATTGTATAATATCTATACAAGAGCTCTCTATTTGAAGAGTACTGAAAGACCTGATGGGCTAAGCCCAAAATATACTTCTAGAGTATTCTAGCTAATACAAATAAATAGATAAAATTCTAATATTTACAATAAATTGGCATTTGGAACATCTGCATGCGGTGTCGTAAGATGGTCTAAAAATCCCTGCACTGCACAATAAACCAAATCTCGACTGAGGTGGACTAGGACTTATAAGTAACAAATCTCGTCACTTTCTGCATCATAATGGATGGGACATTAATATTAGCGAGGCTAACAAAGCTTTTGGCTATTGGACTAGAGGATAGAATCTCAAAATCAACATTATCATAGTCTCCCATTGGAACGTTTTATGGAAGGGAGGAAGATTGTTGGATAGTGCTAAATCAGACAGTGGAGCACCAGTCTATGAATGTATAGATAGCAGCAGTGCATGGACGCACTCTCACTATTCGGGAAGAGATTGTGTAGCGGAGCAACTAGTTTAGATTGGTGGATGTGGACAAGGCGTGCTGGGCCATTAGGTCACTGTCTTGGAAGTTCATCGGAATGGGTTGTGAATGACAACAATGATGGTTGAGGCATGTCAAGAGGCTACCAAAAGGACGAGCGACAGGAAAGGCTTGGCTGTTGTATTTAGGTGCGACATGGAAGACAACAGTTGTGCAATAGGCACAATAGAACTAGGGTTTCTTTAACAGAGACAGGTTGGAACCCGTTCTTATATAAACTTGAATATCATAATATAGGGAAATTTTGTTTGTCAGAATAGACCACAAAGTTGTATATAGATTAATGTGGAAATAAACATCATCTTTATCCTTAACTAGTTTGGGTCGATGAAATATGAACCCAAATGAAAAGTACGAAAAAAATTTAGAGTCTATGACTCTATATCCCATCCATTAAGTCTTGATTTTTTACTTTCCCTCAAGTAAGTTCCGGCCAGCCTCTTTCTTTCTTTGTGTCAAGTTCTTGGTAACACACTTTAGTCCTTATGGGAGCATCTCGGCCTGTTCACATTATGTGTCCAAACGACCTTATCTATGCTCTCTCTTCTTTTCAATCACTAGTACATGTATTACTTTCCTCTTATACTTGTATCTATTTGATCCTAATTACGATAATTATTTATATGATATGATATTCTAATTCGTAATAGCACCATTTCGCCGTTATAATGCTATTGACTACTCTGCTTCCAAGGCATTCTAAAAATATTCAAGATGCACTAAATATATTCGAACATGGCTTTCCCAATGCTGCTGTTGCTATGAAAAAAAAGTAGCCAAAAGAGTATTATGAAGCGAATTATCCTGCCCCAGTTGCTGTCATTAAAAACCCAGGATTCATATTATCTCTTTATATGGCCTCTCTATCCACTGCACACTGCTCTTAAACATATTCTGCTTACAATGAAGTTATCTTCATCTAATGCGTGAATTTTCTCTTCGATGCATATGTTTTCCCTTGCATGTATTTCCCTTGTTCCTGTCTGTAGTTTATTGGTGCAACTTGATTATAAAAACTTTAAAATGTTGTGCCATTGCATTTCAATTGGCATTATTTTATTTGTCAATGCTAGGTTTCTGGCAAAAAAGTGATGGAAATGAGGCAGGAGCTTGAAACTTTGGACGGGAAAGCAAAATCTTCAAGTGAATTCTTATATAGTTACTGCAAGATGGTGGGGGATAGAAGCTTTTCCGACACCATAAAATCTGTTGCTGATTATTTGCAGAAGAGAATGTCTCGCCAGTTTATATTCCAGAATTTGAAGGTCTTTTGGCTTTAAATATGGTTCTTGTCTTCATTAAAGGTAAAATATCATCTTCTGACAGACATCCTCTTTGTTTCTACATTTTCCCCCCAGTTGTGGGATATTGATGATTTTGAGCATAAGGATGGTTGTTACAGAGTTCTTCTCAACTATTGTGGTTATATCATCCAAAGGTTAGTTAATCTTGATTTGTTTCATTATTATTGTGATTAGAACTTAAGTATATCTTTTATGACATGACTAAATGTGTAAATGCCTATTTGTTTTGATGGGTTGTAGGTTCACAGTAAATGCTGGCCTATCCAGCGTAAGAATATCGAATAACTTAAATGATGTGAACATTGTGAAGGTAATTTGGTTGACCATTGATCTGTTTTATTACAATATTCAATATTCATACCCTTTTCTTTTCTAATATGATATTTTTATTTTTCAGACCTTTCCAGAGATGGATGCTTTTTCTGCATTTGAGTTTGTCTTTAATTCTTATACCACTAAGCAATTCACTGGTTCAATAACTATGGCACAAGAAACACAGGTAAATTACTCTATTTCTTATGCCATGATGGTGATGGGTTCCACAACTAGCATTTATTTTTCAAATCTGCTTGATACGGACTAGAAAATTTAAACTGATAGTATGTATTTTGGATAAGATTGACTGATTTATGGGAGATTTAAGAGGATTTGGTATCATACAATCTTACCGCCCTTGAACATGAACATATCTTTGGTACTATAGGAGTACCTACTCTTTTACTAAAACTAGGAAAATATGAGATTTAGGTGAGAATAACAATAAAAGGATGGATAAAATGGTCAAAGTCAATTACATTTGTTTTCCAAAATTAGTAAAGGATGTACTGAGTTTTCAGAATTACCGGAGTATAGAAGATATTTTCCTTGAATAGATTTGGAAAAGAAGAATGTACTTATAAATTTAAAATTGTTTGCTTTCCAATTTGTTTGTGAAATGCAGCAAAGAACTTCATTCTTCTCAAGAGAACTTTTTTTTTTAATCCTGCTATATAGAAATTTCTACAATTTTTTCTAATACTGATTGTCGAAAATAGGCACGTATTATTATAGTTTGCATTGATTTTGAAAATATTTGCAAGTCAAAATTTCTTAGTTAAGTTTGGATTCTTATATTTTCATAATCTGTATTGATATGGAGTCTCCAAGTTAGTCGATGGTCACTAAAAGATTTATTAGGAATCCAATGCATTATATTGATTTTTTTTATTTCTTTTTTGGGCGGGGGGTGTTTATACATAGGTTCACTGTGTCCTTTACTTTAAATAGGATTAGATATATTGCTGATCAAATGTTCTTTGGTATATTCCCTATATTGAGAGTAAAAGAAAGAGGGACATATGCTGAATTATGCGTTTAACTACACATAGGTTTGAACATATAGTAATTTGGTAATAAATACATAGATTCTAATTACCCTTGTTGCAGTAGTTACATAATTTGGATTAACTACTGTATATAGAATGAAACTAAACACCTAATCGGTGAGTAAGTATACACTGTTAAATATCAGGACTCGAGAGGCATATACTGAAATCTGTGTTTCAACTATACAATAGAGGCTCATATAACTAAATGAATAGAAATTACAAGGAGATATATATGATGTGGGACTTCGTCCCTTATACTAAACTACTCTATACTACTATATTTACAACAATGGCCTTCAAGCTGGAGCATATAGATCATATGCACCAAGCTTGTTACGTATGTAATCTATTCGAGAAACATGTCAACCAGTTGATTATTTGAGTTCACAAAATTGGTGATGATATGTCCTGATTGGACCTTTTCTCTGACGAAATGATAATCTATTTCAATATGCTTAGTCCTTTTATGAAATACTATATTGGTAGCAATATGCAAAAGAACTTGATTATCGCAAATGAGAGTTGCTGATCCAGTGTCTTCAAACTTCAGCTCCTTAACCTTTTAGCCATATGAGTTCACAAGTGGTTGTGGCCATTGAACGATCCTCTGCTTCAACAGTTGATTTGACAACTACATTTTGTTTCTTACTTTTACAAGACACTAAATTATCTCTAACAAATACACAAAACTTTGGGGTGGATCTCCTATCAGTGAGGTAACTTTCCGAATCAATTTTCGAGTATCCCATGACCTGGATATGACCATTGTCTCTGTAAAAGAGACATTTTCTTGCAGCTATCTTGATGTACTTAAGAATACAAATCACTGCATCCTGGTGATCTTCGTAAGGAGAATTCAGGAACTGATTTACCACATTGACAGCAAACGAGAAGTCTGGTCGAGTGACTGTGAGGTAGTTTAGTTTCTATACCTTTCTGGATCTGAGAATGGCTCCCCCGATTTCGGCAGAAGCTTGACATTTGGATCCATAGAAGTGTCGATGGCTTAACATTTAACAAAGTCGTCTCTTCAAGAATATCCATAGTATATTTCCTTTGGGATATCACAATATCATCTTTGGATTGGCCACTTTTATCCCTAAGAAATACTAGAGCCTTCCAAGGTCTTTTGTCTCAAAATGATAGTAGAGATGTTATCTTACTTGAGTAATGCCGTGATGATCATCATTCGTAATGATAATGATAATGCCATCAACATACGCCACCAAATAAATGGATCCTAAACTAAAGTGGCAATAAAATATTAAGTGATCAGCCTCACTCTGAATCATTCAAAACTATTGTATGACAATGTTAAATCTTCCAAATCAAGCCCGTGGAGAATGCTTGAGACCATATAGGGACTTGTGGATATGATAAACTAGGCCAGACTCCCCCTGAGCAACAAACCTAGGAGGTTGCTCAATATAAACTTCTTCCGCAAAATCACTATGGAGGAAATGATTCTTGACATCCAATTGATAAAAAGGCCTATCACGAAAAGTAGCCATAGTAAAAAAGAGACAAACAGAGGTCATTTTTGCCACTTGGGATAACATGTCTTCACCAACTGAGCCTTGAAACGGTCCACCCGACTATCATGACCAACTTTAACAGTGTATATCCATTTGCAACTAACAACAGACTTCCTAGAGGAAAGGGGAATCAAATCCCAACTACCTCTACTTTAAAGGACACATTTCTACAAACATAGCTTGTCTTCATCCTAAATGAGATAATGCCTCACCTACAATCTTGGGAACAGTCGCAGAAGACAAAGAAGAAAGACAAGCAAAATGCGAGAGTTAAAGTCGATGATAACTCGAAGTAACATAATGGGGTGAGGGATTACGAGTAGTACGAATACGTTTGCAGAGAGCAATGGGTAGGGCACTGTTGGTAGCAATGAGTAGAGACCACAAGAACCTCAACAACGACAGGACAAGGTGTAGTCTCAGGTAGAGGTGGTCGACAATGATAGACCTGTAAGGGGCGGATAGAAATTGGGTCGTCCTGCATAGGAGGAAATTGTGGTGGTGGTGTGAACTCATCCGAGATCAGAGGAAGCGGTAAGGTAGTAGAGACTGACTCAAGGGAGAATTCAAGGACCAAGTGATGTAGAATGAGAAACACAAGTAACAGGATTACCAGTATCTGGAGGACAAGCCTTCTTGAGAAGAGTTTGGAGTGCTACATAGTCTGCAGAAGAGAGAGAGACTGTACCAGATGAAGCAGTATCTTACTGAGCTATATTCGCAGCATGAGAGGTCGCGGTGAGAATACTTTGTGTAACAACGCTCCTCATAATGACCAAGTTGCTGACAATAATGACAACGAAGTCGCTGACCACGTCCGCCCTAGCCCCTACCACGACCACCTCCACTGTTCCCGTGAAAGTCAATACGGGAAACAAGAGCAATGGAATCAGCAACAGATGATGATGTAGGAGCAGAATTCTTGTTGAGGTTTAGAAGGCGCTGATAAGTCTGTGATAAATCAAGATCCCCACTAGTCAAGATAGTATCAGAGACATTATCATACTCCTTGGGAAGACCAAAAATTGTGGCAACCATAAAAGACGCTCCACTTGTATCCTGTATGCAGAAGCATCAGTACGGTAGGGAAATATAACTAAGTATGCCTGCATCAAAGATCGACTTTTGCCAATATATGTCTCCATCTGAGTGTCAGATGATTTACGCAAATCCATAAGGTGAGACGTGATAGAATGAAGCTGTTGAACATCATTAGTGTAGAGGTGTTTTGCTTCCTCCCTCACTTCATTGCATGTCTGAAAAGAATAGAAAATATCCAAAACGATTGGATCAATAGATTGCCAAAGAATGCTCAAAAGTTGGTTGTCAAACCTTTCCCAATCAGATTTTTCTTCCTTAGGAATAGCAGTAGATTTAACTATGAGATGTCGCCCATGCCCCTGTCCAAAGAACCAGACTCGAACAGAGGTGGCCCAATTCTTGTAATTAATAGAACCGTTCAGTTTGGAGGAGTTAATATGCCCAACATTAGTGGAAATGATACTTGAGGAACTTCTGACAGGAGGAGGAGAATTAACTTCTGAGTTAACAGGAGAAGTTTCTGCCATTAAAATAAATCAGAAAAGTACAGAACCAAGCGAATAGAAACAAACTGATGACCAATCAAGAAGAGACACGCCAAAAGTGAGACCCACGAAGAACCAAGGACAGATCTGGAAAGGGAAGGAGAAATCGAGTTGTTCTGTCCTGGAATGGCCGGAAAAGGATGCTGGAATAGTGCACTTGCACTTGTGAAAGGTGGCGCACGAGCACCACGCGCAAAGAGAAGAAGCTGCGTGTGGGGGTGCATGGAGGCTCCGACGGTGATGGGTCTTCCACAGAACAGGTCGTTGGAGAGAGGATGTTCTGATCGTAGGTGTTCTGCTTGAAATCGTTGCTTGAAAAAGTTCTCCAATGACCGCGAACAGTGACGAACGATGATTTTGGTGGCGAACAAAGGTGCTGATAGGTATAGAAAGCGATCTGAAGGGGCACACAACTTAGATGACTTGCCAGAAGGACACACGACAAGGAAATGAGAACACCTAAGCAGTGGGCATAGAGCTTTTAGCAGAAGCGAGGGTCCCCAGAATAAAAGAGATCTGGTACCAACTTGAGAATATGGAAATATGAAATAATAATATGTTGTGTATTAAAATGATACAAAGAGATACAATATATAGAGACCCTAATGGGCTTAAGTGAGAAGCCCAGACCTAACTCAAATCCTAAATAAGGGAAATAATATTTATAGATAAGAACGTAATCTATACAAATCTTTATAGATGATATTTCCTATTCTAACAAATTTCATGATAAATTGAAATATGAAAAATAAATTAGACCGATTTTTCATTAAAAATAACCAAGTGGACATAGAATAATTATCAATAAATGCGACAAAGTATCTAAACCCCATGATGGACTAATTACAACTTGGGCCCCAAACATTAGAATGAACCAAGCTAAAGGGAGATAAGCACAACGATTGACTTTTTTCGAAAAGAAACTACGAATATGTTTTCCTAATTGGCATGACTCACATTGCAAAGTAGACAAATTTGTTAGAAGAGGCCCATCTTTTGGAGCTTACCAAGATTGGGATGACCAAGTTGAGCATGGATAATGAGCAAAGAATCATGGGCGAAGTAAGCCCGAGAAGAGCTAAAAAGCTGATTAAGCCCACTCATACCAAACACCAATCGTCCTCTATGAATAATGGTCTTGTATATTATAAAGAATCAATTCATCTCAAAAGCTTAAGTTGTTAGGTGAGGGCCTCTTTAATGGTTTATATTATACTCTAACATGCCCCTTCACAAGAGAGCCCATTGGGCTTGAATGGTGGATGATGCATCAGGCCCAGCCCACCTGTGCTAAGAAATTCCACAAAGAAAATGAGGGGCGATGAGGATCGAACCCGAGACACGAGGCTCTGATACTATTTTTTTATAGCCTGAAGCAATCTCCTTAAGCCTGGTTGAGCTGCTTTAGTTCCGCTGTTCAATCTTTCGGTTTAACCCGAAGTAAAGTCGATCATTCTGTCTTTTATCGGCATAGCTCTTTTGGCCAGTGCATCTATCTCTCGGTCTATGTTAATGACATCATTATTACTGGCAGCGATCAAGCTGGGATTGATCAGTTAAAGAAATACTTATTCAATCAGTTTCAGACCAAAGATCTTGGTAGACTTCGATATTTCGTAGGAATCGAAATGGCATAGTCTAGGCAAGGCATTTCCATTTATCAGAGGAAGTTTGCATTGGATATCCTCGATGAGACTGGAATGTTGGGATGTAAACCCATTGATACACCTATAGATCCTAATTTTAAGCTATTACCCGAATAGGGGTAGCCATTGACAGACCCTGGTCGTTACCGTCGACTAGTTGGAAAGTTGAACTATCTTACTGTGACAAGGCCCGATATCTCTTTTGTAGTTAGTGTGGCAAGTCAATTTCTTGACTCTCCTTGTGACTCTCATTGAGATGCAGTTATCAGGATTTTTCGATATATCAAAAGAGCACCATGAAGAGGTTTATTATACACAAATAAAGGAAATGCAGAGGTGTCTAGCTGTTCAGATGTTGACTGGGTAGATTCTCCTTCAGACAGACGATCCACTTCGAGGCATTGTTTTCTTCTCGGTGGAAATTTTATCTCTTGGAAGAGTAAGCACCAAACTGTGGTCGCCAGGTCAAGTGAAGAGGCAAAATACCGGGCAGTGGGAAATGCAACCTGTGAGCTCATCTGGCTGAAACAATTACTTAAGGAATTACATATCTGTGAACGACGGCCCATGAAACTCATTTGTGACAATCAAGCAGCATTGCACATATCCTTTAACCCAGTCTTTTATGAGAGGATCAAACATATAGAAATTGACTGTCATTTTGTTAGAGAGAAGATTCAGTCAGGAGAGATCGAGATAACATTTGTCAATTCCAATTATCATATATGTAACAAGTTAGGAGCTTATGATATATATGCACCAGCTTGAGGGGGAGTGTTAGAAATAATATTGTATTTTATTATTATTATTCTAGAAGGTTATTTGGGCTTGATCCATTAGGTCATTTAACCTCTTTAAATAGAGGACTTTTGTATTGTTCTATATACAATTGAATACAATACATTTATACATCTTAATTTAAACAACTGAGTTTTTTCTAAAAAAGATAAGATAGTCAAGAGAATGAGTTAATCTACTAATGGATATAAGATTAAAGGGGGAACCAAAGATATATAGCACATTATCAATAGAATCTGAGGGAAAGAGATGGACAGTTCTAACTTCATGAGATTGTACTTGTTAACCATTCGCCATTGTTACTTTAGGCAAGTAACCAGGGGTAGAAAGAGAAGAGAATAAAGATTTATTACCAGAGATGTGATCAATTGAACCAAAATCAAGAATCCAATGACCAAGAGATGGAGTTTGATTCAAACAGTAAAATTGTTACCCGTGTGCGCAATAGAAGAAGTGGTGCAAGAAGCCACAAGTGTCTAAACAACCCTAAGAGGGGCAAACAGACCAAATCTGGCTATTGGGCACGTTGGAGAGACAAACATGTGTTGGAAAATTTGTCGGTCCACGATCAACATCAGTCAAAGGCTTTTAGACAGCTGCTAGAGAAGGATTGAGATTGGAAACTGACGAATATGACAGTTTCTAGAAAAAAGAAAAAATTTACTTAGTGAACAGTGGGCCCACCAAAAAGGCATGGATTAGTGTTTCTCTCGTTTGGCTGTAGATACGACTTTGAATTTTAGGACTCAGGAGGGATATATTGAAATCCTTGTATTTCACTACACAACGGAGGCTTTATTATATAACTGAATGAGAAAAGATTGCAAAGAGATATACATGATGCGAGACTTCATCCCTCATACTAAAGTATTGTACTATTATGTTTACTACAACATACATGATTCTTAAACTCCCTCAAAAGTGGGAGCGTATAAATTATATGCACCAAGCTTATTACATAGTGTTTATAATTTAAAGTAGGAGGGAACAATGGTGGTATATACTCAACTGAAGGAAAAAAGGAGATAGAGGAGAGGCTGACTAATTGGGAGAGGAGGTGGAACCAAAGAATGGAAGAATCTCGAAGAAGGTAACATCTATCGAGATAAAATAACAACAATGATTAGGAGAGTAACAAACTAACAATGATAACCCTTTTGTGACAAAGTATAACCTAAGAACACACATTTGTTCGATTTGGCGGACAACTTGTCAAGACCAAGGCTGAGGTCGTGGACAAAACAAGTAGAACAAAAAATATGAGGGGCCAAGGAATGCATTGACTGGTGGGGAAATAAAAACGAGTGGGGCATTTGGTTTTGAAGGACAAAGGAGGGCGTGCGGTTAATAAGATAACACCAAATAAAAACATCACCCCAAAAGAGGAAAGGAACATGGCCATGGAGTAAAAGGGTCCAAGTAGTTTCAATGAGGTGCCATTTTTTGCATTTAGCGATCCTATTTTGTTGGGGGGTATGGGAACACAATGTTTGGTGAAGAATGCCATGAGTGGCAAAAGAGGCTTAAAAATGATGGGATAAATATTCACGAGCATTATTACTATGAAAAGTGCGAATATGAACACCTAATTGGGTAATTGTTTCATTATAAATTGTTGGAATATAAAAAATAACTTAGATCAGTTTTTATGAAAATTAACCAAATGCATCGAGAGTAAGCATCAATAAAAGTAATAAAGTATCAAAATCCCATAGTAGAAACAGTACGACTATGACTCCAAATATCTGAATAAACTAAAGTAAAAGGAGACAACGCACAATGACTAACGCAATTGGGAAATGAACTACGAGTATGTTTCCTTAACTGACAAGACTCACATGACAAACTAGATAAAGTAAACAATTGTGGCACCATCTTTCGGAGTTTTGCAAGGGTTGGATGATCCATCTGAGCGTGAATGGTAAGAGGAGAATCCACTTTAGAGCCTACTGGGGATGAAGTGAATAACTGATAAAGGCCATTGGACCCTTATCGTTGCCAATCATCCTCCTTGAACTCTGCTCTCGCAAAATCACAGAAGTTTTAGTAAAGGAAACAATACAATCAAGAGTAAAGTGACTAATGTAAAGAAGATTGAAAGAGAATTAGGGACATAAATGACATTGTAAATGGAAATAGAGGGAAAGAGTTGAACAATGTCAATCTCATGGGATTGGACCAATGAACGATTAGCCATGGTGATAGCGGGCAAAGAACTGGATGTAGAAGGAGAAATGAATAAAGACTTGTTATAAAAAATTTGATCTAACACATCACAACTAGAACTCAAGGACCCAGAAATTGCGACCGAGTGAAATTAGCAAAAGAATTACCCGTGTGTAATAGAAGCAATGGAACTAGAGGCATGACTCTTCTCATACCATATAATGAAGTCAATAAAATTAGTTGATGGTGGCTATGGTGCAGCAGACTACTGAGAACTAGAGGAGGTTTGAGCAAACTCGATAGCGGAAAAGTGATGGTACAGGTCATGGAGAATGACACCGTTCTCATAACATATTCAAATTATAAAGATTTATGTATGGAAGGAGGAAAGAGAGAATAAAAACACTGAATATTATTCTTTTGTGTATACTGATGTGATACAAAATCTGAAACACTAACCCCTATTTATAACGAGCAAACAAATCATGAAATACAATAAAAGATGAAAACTACTCATAAGAGATCATCTATGATACTTTAAAAATTATGCGACACTAATAATATTATGAGATATATTCTAAATATTTTAACAAGGTTGATGATTGCACATACGATGAACATAGGCACGTAATAGTAGGAGTATAGCCTAATTCTTAATATCCTCCCAATGATATTCCTTGTTCCCCTAAATTTCTAATACACTATCGCCAGGAATCTTTTTTATTATTCTTTTGCTTTCTATTTCTGGGGCTAAAAGCTTTCTTTAACAACATCATAGCTCGCAATTATTAAAGAATAGCAAACGAACGAATGCTAACTGTTTTCCAATGTACTGTTGCTGACCTGCTATTCTATGCAGATAACAAGTTCACTTCTAAGTAATTTGCTAGATGTGATTGAGGAGGTTCAATTAGCTCGGATAGAGATTAGAAATTTGGTCCAGGCAAAGTTCTATCCTCATTCAGGTGAACAAATTTCTCCTTTAATCCTTAAAATATTACTGTGAGCCTTGGAGTTGCTGTAAATTCTTCCCATATTTGATCTGAAGCGGTTGCTAACCTTGCATTTTTTGACTTTAGATTATGTTGAAAAGGACGTAGCGGAGTTTCACTCTAATTTGTACTATTTTGCAGTTCAGCAGCTTCGTTTGCAGCTATCTTTCGTTGACTTTAGTAGTGGGAGGAAGGTGGAAGTGACGCTTGATATGACAAGCTTAAAATGGTAAAGTTCTGCAACTTTTTTTTTAATGTAGTTTTTTCTGTGTCCTGCTAGTGCTCAGTCGCTCCTTTGTTACTAAGTATAGCGTGGTTCTCGCTTATTCCAATTAAATTGTAATTCTTAGGCTCTCCTATAAGGACCGTATATGAACCACCGAAACAGAGACTCTACTGGGTCTTCCATCTTTTCAACTTCCATTCAGATCATTTAAAGTTTTGATCAATACTTCTCACTTTCTGTAATTTTTTCCTTAAATTTAATATTTAGTGTGATCTGATGTTACTGTGATTGCCTTTAACCCAGCTGAGACAATGCTCATTGATGTATGGATATAATCAATTTCAGTGCTATTTCTACATTTTGCTTTTGCCATAATGCTATCCCCACGTGAGATCAGCTTTATTTATGGTTATGTCTTTATATTTGTAATTAAAAATTCTGACTGATTTGACAAATGGCTTCTGAGCAGTGGGGCCTATCCTGTAGATCTCCTTCCATCTCAAATATATGATCCTGCTCGTGGGGAACAACAGCCTCTGCCTTCGTCGCTTGTAGATGAAATAAGAACTGCAGTTGAGAGTGTGAAAGTTGGGTATTCAAGAATTATTAGGCTTTGTCGGCGTATTTCCCAGGTAGTTCAGGCTTGCACTCAAAGAAGTTGATGAACAATTTTTGCTTATGATTGCTTTCCATTGTTGTCAATTTTGGTTTTGGGTGGATTCTCCATTATAGCTTTACCTTGTATATTTTCACGTCATGGTGTTGCTACAAATGGATGAGTAATTCACATGCAACATAAAAAAAATTCGGACTATAATCCAATGGATAATGCTGCAAGAAGCTCGAGACTTTTATGTTTTGGTTGAATCAGTTTTTTGAGTTCTGTGTAACTTTACTTTTTTTTTTTTTTTTTAAAAGCCTGTGCTTTAGAGACTCAGCTCTTTGTATTGTAGCACTGCCCGTATTCAATCTTGCGTGACAGTAATGCAGTGTAGACACCCATGTTTTCTTACGCTTTCACAATTCTACTGATTTCTTATGTTCAATTATAATATTGGTCTCTAAATTTTATGATTGGAATTTTGTAAAAGTAGGTTTCATCATTTATAAAAATCTTTTGTTGGATGGAGGCTAAGGAGCTCTACTACCCTAAATTATCAATTTATGTATTTGTTTTGGACAGAGGCTCACATTACATGAAGCCCATAATGGATAATAAAAAGAGAAAATTAATATAATTAATGGAAAGAATTAATTCAAGATACCAATCTTAATACGACAATAATAAATTTGGATGTGGGTTTTCAGAGGAGGCATCAAAGGTTCAAAATTTCAATATTCACATGTAAATTCTATAAATAAGAGGTAAAATCTATAGGTACGAATATTTTCTTTTTTGACTGTTATGTTACTGTGCACACACATCATCCCTTTGGCTTGTAACACCCCAAAATTTGTAACAATTTATAATAACAATTTTTTTCTAAAATCATAAACAATTGTGAAATTTAAATTAATCAAATTTAGGTAATGTTATCGTTGCACTTGTACTATGAACAAGTGCAAGGTTAAATTTATTACATTAAAATAAAACCAAAGATTAAAGTTTAACTAAAGGAAATATGTCTTATGCATTTATTAAATCTCATAAAATTTCATAAAATTTCTAAACTTTAGAACTAGATAGAAATATCTGAGTCGTTATCCTCACTGCCTATAGCTAGCCTCATCTTTTGCAACCTGTTTCACAAAAAATATGCTCCCTCAAAGGATTATTGTAGCCAAACAACCACAAACACAAACAGTCGGCAAAACTGGTAATCCTAATCCAATATACAAGAAAAAAATATAACTCATAATAATCAAATTAAGTAATATAACTCAAATTTTAGATCAAGTATCAACTCGTTATTAATCATATTAATCTTTATTTAGTCCATTTAGTGGGAAGAGAATCATCGTAGACCCAAAAAATCCTATTGCCAATTTACCCCGTGACCTGGGAAATCCTGTTGCCACCCACATGTAATCAAAATTAACCATATCAAACTATCAAATCCTAGTGTGCACACTATAACACCTCCTAATTCTAAAATACTTAATTACTGTTAAAATGAGGATTAAAGGGTAGGATTAGTGAAAATCCTGAATTTGGAGTCAAAATATGTAAAAGGGTAAAACAGTAAATTGCCAAACACGTAACCCTAGGAAATAATGTGATTAGAAGGTCTTAAATAGGAAAACTAACCCTGGAAATGGATTCAGAACAAAAAATTGAGTGGTTAGGCAAGTTTTTGGAAAAATGATGAATAGTGTTTTTACTGGGTAAAAATACAGCGATACAGTTGCACCAAAAAGCGTACCGAATGAATTATGAGCTCTAGGTTTGGAAATAAGTTGGAAATGATATATAGGACTAAGATTTATGATTTTTGATGAAAATTGATTGAAATTAGGATTTTTGGGGAAACGTGCCCACAGTGCACATAACATCTTAAAACTGTGATTTCACCGAACGACCGAAAAACTCCAGATTCTTCTTATCAAGGACAATTAAAGGACATTGGTGAATGTTAAAAATTGAATTTTCTAAATAGTCTAGGAATTAATTGGAGTTTCGTGGTTTAAGCGGGAGATTTGAATTAATTTGAAACGTACGAGGTGGCAGTGTGACTCACCCCACTTAAGTTATAACATGACAACAAGGAAATGGGCACTATTCACTCATCTCCCTCCCTTCTCTCTCTACAACCCGCGGCCATGGTGGTGTATAGGGGAGGATTTCTTGCTTTGATTTCTTGATGATTTAGCCACCAAAATCAACAAAGTTTGTCATCAAACTTCAAAAACAACCATCCAAACACAACCATACCATCCACAACCCTTGAAACCCTCTAGTTTGAGAGAAATTTGAGACCCATTTGCACGAATTTGTGTGGAAAATTTGGTATTCTTGGTGTTGATTGATCAACCATTGCTTGGGTATTGTGTGGAGGAGTCTTAGGCCTTAATCATTGGTATGTTTCAACATATTTCATTGGATAATTTGTTGGATTTGATTTCATGAACCTAGATCATGTGTTGTGTGATTGATGTGGTTGGGGACCTCAAATTGAAAATGTGTATTAGACGAATGTGTCTTTGAATGATGTTTTATAATGATTGAGCTCATAAAAGTTATTGAGAAAAAGTATGATAACTTAGGCAAATTTGATGGTGGATATGCATGAATTTATGAAATGGAATTGTTGTGTGATTGTGTAATTGATTTGTGGAGTTGTTGTATAAGTTAATTATAGGATTGTATAATGTGTGGAAGTGTGAAATTGGAATGAAAATCCTTTGGTATCCTATGTGCAAGAATTCAGCCATGTGAGGGGAAAATAGGATAGGATGATGCAAAGGTTGTGTAATTGATTGTGTGATGATTTGGATCAAGTTTGAATGAGTTGTGTGTTGGTGTGATGCATGAGAATTGGAAGAAAAACCATTGGATGTGTTAGGGAAAATGGTGTTGAATGGTAATTGAATGGAATTAAGGACTTGAAATGGTGTTGTGGTGAGCTTAGGAAGCTATTGGAACCTTGTAATAAAATTAACATCATGGCTAGGTATTATTGGCCTAATGGCCGAACCTATGTGCGAGTGTGAGAGTGTATGTTTTGTAATTCAATTTGATTTACAATTGAATTGATGATCATTGTGTGATCATTGTAGGTTGCCTCCCACGAACATAATCTTTGAGTAGTGAGCTTGGATGGGTTGTCTCCAGAACCTCTGGGTTACTGAGATATATTCATATATCTCACCTCGTGTCTGGCGCATTATTTCAGGTAGTTGTAGCAGGGTTGGAGCCATGGGCAAGAGGCCCACATGATGAACACTTGGAGTTAGAGGACTTTTGCATTTTGAGGCCACTTTTGGCATAGGCTAGACTTTTGAACATTGTATATTGCTTTAGGATAATGCATCTTGTCATATTTGTTCATGCCATATTTTGCCTAAGTCTAGTTGATGATTCATTATGTTGTATTTTGAGGTACTTTGTTGTATTATGTTACCATTTGGGAGAATTGTAAATTGTAAATTATGGACCTTGTGTAATATTTAAAACATGTATGTGATGAAAGAGCAATAACCCTATTTTAGGTTATGATTATATGTTTATTGTAAGAATGCATGCAAATGGGACAATGTGATTGAAATAAATTTAAGTGTTGATAAAGTAAGCATGAATGATAAATGGATGAAAATAATGCAAATGGTTATGGGTTGTAAGAGAACCAAGACATTATTGGTCCTTGAGTGCCACCCTTGTCTATTAGATACCCTTGAGATAATAACACACTTTTGATAAAGTGGAATAGGTTGAATAAACAAAAGAGATGCCGTCGAAATTTCTATTAAAATGGCAGTTTTTAGTCTGACTTTGGAAGAACATATCTCACTCCACAAATATCCAATAGGTACTTGCCATACATTATTTTGAATCTTGAGATGTCAAATATGTTTTGTCAAAATTTGTTAGCAATTGAAGCTGTGTGCAGACCTGTAGACGCAATTGAGTGGGGACTGTCCATAATGCCCTGCACATGGGGGCTGTCGAGTTACTGTTTTAGGAAAATTGTTTCTCCCTCAATTATTGGTCAAATTAGACCCGTGATATGTCAAATTGAAGCTTAAGGTATCTAGTTTACTGTATAAAAATTTGAGAGCAATTAGTCAAGTGGTTTATTCAGAATAGCAGAAATGGTAAGGTATGTTTGGTGTCCTGTTTGGGGTTGGCTGGCAGCTTTACTTGTCCAATTTCAAACGGTGATAACCGGAGCAAATGAGAACTTTATGGTGCGTGTTATACCTTTTTGGAAAGGTAATTGAGTCTAGAATAACATACTAAAATATGAGAGGCTTGTAAACACTAAATCACGCTCAGTGTTCGAAAGACTGAACCATGTTCAATTATGTAAAAACCGTAAAAGTGAAATTTATGCTAAGTGGGTTTATGGGAACCTCTTAGTGACTTAAGATAAGCATTGTATGATGCTTAGGAATTTAATTTATATTGTAAATAATAGAATTATTTTATTATTATTTTGTAATAGTTAGAATACTCTATAAGTGTATTTAGGCTTAGCCCATTAGGTTTTTTAGTATCTTTAAATAGAGAACTCTTATACAAATATTATATAATTCAATAATATACAAATCTTATTTTCTAGTTGGTATCATAGCTCTCGATTCTGAGGGCTCTGCTTCCACAAATCACTACCTCTAAAAACCAAACCTTTTTGCCCACGCCGCCACAAAGCCGCCGCTGGAAAAAAAAATTGGGGACCTTTAGGACCGTGAGGACCCTTGTTTCACTCTGTTTTCTCAGATCTATCATTCTACGGAAGTTTCTTTTTCATCAGACGATCGGAACAACTCAAGCAAAATAAAAACATATTGTTCATCGCGACACTGTTCATCGGGTACTATTCACGCGACGCTGTTCATCGCGCACTGTTCACCAAAAAAAAAGAAAAGAAAAAAAAGAGAAATTTATTTTATTTTTCTGATCAACTATGTTTGGTAAGATCGCACACCCTACATCTCTTCTTACATCTTGCACTGATTTCAAAAATTCACGGATTATGGATTCTAGAGCAACTGATCATATGACTTGTCTAACTGATTCTTTTCTTTCATATAACCTTCCTAGTGGTATCCGTACTATAGTTGTAGCTGATGGATCCCACAAATCAGTTGTGGGTTCTGGTAACATTCAAATTCAACCTTCCTTATTTTTAAAGAATGTTCTTTATGTTCCTCAGATCTCTGCCAATCTTATCTCCACTTATAAGCTTACAACTGACATGAATTGTGTTGTCACCTTTTTTCCTACCCATTGTGTTATTCAAGATATCACCATGGGGAGTACGGTTGGAGTTGCTAAGGAGCAAGGTGGGTTGTACTATCTCATTCCAGAGCATTCTACAAGGGATACCGAGA